TATATATATATATATATATATATATATATATATATATATATATATATATATATATATATATATATATATATATATATATATATATATATATATATATATATATATATATATATATATATATATATATATATATATATATATATATATATATATATATATATATATATATATATAAACAACTTTTTTACAAAATGGAAAAAGTAGATATTTCCCTCTCAAAAGTGAAAGCTTAAAGCGAGGAGAATGTCGATGCACAAATCTGCTTTGTCCATTCGATTCGAAGTAATGTTTGACAGGACGGAACGAGCGACTGACGCGATGATGAACGCGAGTTGCGTGAAAGCGCACCGTAAATTTTTTTTCCCTCAATTTAAACGTGTCGCCCGCATTTTTGAAAGCAAATCTCAGATAGATTCGTCAACGGCAACATACGACACGAGCGGTTTTGCTGCTGTGCCGGCTTCGCAAAGTTGCATGAGTCTGAAACGCGAAATTAAATCCGGGCGTATAAACGGGCGCCATGTATACCCTGTCAACAGTTACAAACGCGAGTCACGAATCCGTAGCGCACGGAGCGCGTCTTTCGCTTTTATTTACGGCTCGCCTGCTTGCACCGCGAACGCGTTGATTTAATTTCGAAAGTTGCCAGCGCTGGGAAAGAGAGCCACCCCCGCACGATGCGACACGTGTCTGTAATGTCCGCGTAACACGTGAGACTTCTTGCATTTCGGTTGCGTCGATATCATATTCCTTTACAGATGAAGTGGCGCAAAATGGAGGTTTCTGAGTAGCGCACGACATTCAATGCTATAAAGTCACGATACGTGGTGATCGATTTTTATGAATTTCTTTCTTTCTTGATCTCAGTATTTTTTTAACAATGATATAGGAATATTAATTAATTTTTAAATGATATGTGATCGAAAAATTGTATTATTCCCAAATTAATGTTAAATGGGTTTTTATGTCAAGACGGATAACAATGTTTGATTAGACTTTTACAAAAGAAGAGTGAAGAAACGATTTCTCAAATTGATAAAATAATCTCTACGCGAAGTTCATAGAAACTTTCTACATGGTATGCTCTTTATTTGCGAGGGAAATGTCATGTCACATAAATTATAAACGCAGCGCATGTCAGAGCAAAGGTATTAACACGCCGCACGCAACTTTGTGCATTCGTGCGTGCCGCGTGCGTGCGCGACCGCTCGCGCTCGCCCGCGATTTTTTGCCATTTATTTTCATATGCTTTTTTGCTGGGTATTTTCACTGTCGCGCGTGGACCTACATCTTTATCGCCGCCGTTATACGGGTTCAACGTACCTTTTGGTTTGCAACCGCCGCGCTGATTAACCCTTTCAACGCCGATGACATTGCGCGGAGAGTTGCGCAATTTATGCGCATACATTTCACTTGCGCGCCGGATTCCGCCATTTTCTTAGTCATCCCTTGTTCTATTCGAGGTCATGCACCCAGAAACAGACGAATGTATAGAGTTATAGAGTTTGCTTAGCGTGATTAAAGTAGATGAGTTTTGGTCGTGTCGCGCGCGTAATTTTTATTGCGTGACTTTTTGAATGGACGCCACAGTAGATAAATGAATACATCGTTCGTGTATTGTGATATTTGTTGTGTATATGGTGTCTAGAGAGATATATATTATTCAAATATTTGAATGGATGTGAAGGGATTCCCAGGAAAAATGTTGAAAGCGTCCAAATAGCTTGATTGAAAAAATTATTACGAAATGTGTTACGTCTATATAAAATTCATCACTTTCTTTCTGCGGATTTCGAGAATTAAATTTTTATTATCTATTTAGAAAGAATATATTTTACTTGTATTAAATTTTAATGGTATGCTTTCCGCCACTCAAGAAATTAATTTTTTCTTATGAATATGTTAGTAATGAGCGCTTAAAAACATTATTATCAAGATTAGCTAATAAATGCACAGAATATCTAAATATCTCGTGAGGGAAGTGATTTATTTTTATTAATACCGTGCAATGTGGAGACACGTATTTTCATACGAAACACACATATACATACACACATACTCATTGTTCACTTTTATGCATTGCGTGACTAATTCATCACACGTTACCTAACATTTCGCCGCGTAGTTCGAGTAATCTTACTTGTTTTAACACACAAGTGCACCTCTTCTTTTCCTCTTTGTTATTTTCTCGTATTTTTGCTACAGTTGCCCGACTATTTACGATCTTTTTCTCCTGCGTGTAAAAGATTTCTCGAAGGGCTGCTCGGAAAAATGTCTTGCAACATACCATATTTTAGGTACGACGGTTTGTTGGTAAAATGTGTTATGTTTCAAAAATAGTAATAATGTACACAAGTATAAAAATAGTAATAAATAATATTTAGAATAAAACATATATGATAAATAAGCTGTAAACTTTTTATTTAACAATACGTAGATTATTAATTTGAACTAACAAACAAGGCTTATATGTTTACATGTTTCTAAAATTTAACTTCTTTGCATATCCTGTATAATTAGAAACCTTTATATATATATAACATAAAATTTCACATTAAAAAAAAATGAATACATTAATGAAAAATACATGTGTAATTTTTTTATTATTTAACACTTGGCTCTTATTTGCCTATTTTTAACGTTATTTATTGTAAGTATTAGAGCTTTATTGATTGCTATTGTCAATTTTCTCAAGTTCTAATAATTCTTTTTTTTTTATCACAGCGTTACATCAAAAAATACGGCACTTGCAAAGTTTTTCGCTGAATTTCTGTATTTATCTCCGCATGTCCGTCTCGAATTTTATTGACAATATTTGTGTCCGCTTTTGTTCCAGTTGGGTTTCTTCACATACTATACAGTGGCGATGGGGGAGGTGAATCCCTCGGGGCCGGTGCCGATCGACAGTGTTTTCATTTATAGGCCGGACAAGCGACTCGAGCTCTGGAGGTTCGCCTTCTATATGTTCCTGCACGCTGGGTAAGCTTCTTAATCTTTTTCTTTTTTTTTTTTTTTTAAGGCAACATTCGATCTGCATTCGCACTATAAATCTGTTTCGCGCGCATTATCATGCTGTTTTTGCGTCTTTTTTTAATTTTTTGCGATTTAATGCTCGCATAATAGTGAGTGCCGTCTTATGAATATGCAATTTGCTGATATTTAAGGAATATTTGCGGCATTATTCTCAAATAACACTCGATCGAAACTCGATTAGATTCCACGTTAATTTTTTCGTTTTATCATCCGAGATAGAATGCATCGACAACTTGATTCTTTTTTCCTTTCGTGGTACGCAAGTGCGTCGTTAATTTTCCCGGCCATCACGAAAGGAAACGCCGATGTAATACGAGCACACATTTTCTTTTAAATCACGTACCGCTGCGATTTTATATAACGTCCCAGACCACGTTTTTCTCGCGCTAATGGATGCGAAAGCAAATCTGCGTCAGTACACATTCAAATTATTGAAGGCATCATCGGCGAACTCGCGGCTAGAAAAATACGAGAGAGCCGATAAAGTCTTTGTAGAATGTAGAATGTTTGAGCAATGCCGATCATGAAGAACGTATTTTTCATCCGAAAATTGAATTTGCCAATCTTTTTGGCTTCTGATTATCTCGAATATAAGAAATCTCCTATTATCTATAAATATTGGTTCCATTATTTTTGTTTTAAATGCTTTAAAAAATTTAAACGTTGCTATCGTTCGAATATCATTTCTTACTATGAACATGAAATTATATCGCGGTATTGTCGAATTGCAATAGCGATATTGCGAGTCGTGATATTGAGAAAAAAAGAGGAGCCGAAATTCTCTGAAATCGACGACGTTGCAGCATCGCACAAATTATTACGATTACGGCAGCGCGAAAAAAGGGATCGAGATAAACCACGTCTCCGCCGCATCTTTTGTCCCATTTTTCTCGGGTTTGCAGAACGTACCGCATATATGTTTCGTGCGTGCGTTGCATTTATTTTTTATCTAATTTAGTTCGGTTCAGATTTACTATTCAAGAGAGATACAATATACTACGCTTTTTATGTTTTATCGATAATGGAGAATAAAACTATTATATATCGAACAAATAGGTATTTGGGGAAAAGAATATAAGCTTTTAGAAAAATATAAAGAAAAATACGTAATAAAATTTATAATAAATTGAGGAAAATATAGTAATAAATAGAGACAATATAATAAAGAAGAAAGAGGAAGAAATAAGAGAAAAGTATATTATATACAATTTGAAAGTTTTTACATACTTTATTATATTTTTTATATATAATTCGAGTTTACTAGAGGTAAAAAAATTTTTTTTATTTATAACGTCAAAACATGATATAATTGAGAATGATACAGTAAAGAGTTTTAAAGCTTGTTAGAAAAAAAAAAAATGAATTTATAGTTGCGACATATTATAGGATATAAGATACTTGTGTGTGCGAGAAGACGAATGTTGGGATTAAACGGATGCGAACCTACGCATCTAACCACCTGCGTCTGTCATGAATGTTGGGTATTAAGTTAATGACTAATTATAATTAATTCCGTTCCTTGTATTACCACGTATTGCATTTCGCGTTCTCGGCAGCGCGTCGATTAAATTCAAGCGGCGTCACAGGAGAAACAAAATTTTTTAAGTGTTCCGGCACGCGTCATATGCTTTTATAGGAAAGAAAACGGGAAAGGAGGCAGCTTCCTCCGCCCACGGTTTTCTCTATTATGCTTATTTTTTTTTTCTCTCGTCTCCTCCGCATCGATGGTTTCTGCCTTTTTTTCCTTTTCCTTCACCTTTTACCTTCTCCATCTCGACATTTCTCTGAACGCACCAACATTTCCAACCCTTTCCTTTCCAGCTCCAAGATCACGAAGAGAAAGGAGACCGAGAGACGAGATTCTATAGCAAACTCTCTCTCTCTCTCTCTCTCTCTACTCGGTCTCGCTCTCTTTCGCCGACAGGATAGAAGTTTTCAGCGCGCGAAGCTCTGTAAATTATTCATGGAATGCCAGATAAGACGTCGTTTTTCCTACGTGCGTATGGAAACGGCGATAAGAGTGACCCCAGTCGCTGTTTTTTTCTTCTATAGAAAACGGTGCGTTCGTTCAATTTTTGTTCCCCTCCTGTATTTCTCTTCCTCATTTTATGATTCTCTTTATTTCCCCTCTCGTTTCCAATTTCTGATATTCAATATTTCCATATCATGATCTCCTTTCTATTTATCACAACATCCTTTATTTTTGACTTTTTTTTTGAAAGATTTTACGTGTTGTTTATCTTACTCTTTCGTATGATACTCTTTCTTTTAAATTGGCGAAATTTGATATTCTTCTGTTTTTAACAATTATTTTATTAATATTCCTATTTTTCTGTTTTCTCTCATTTTTTACTCAGTTGTACTATATTAATATTAATTAATGTATGCATTTCTTATTAATTGTTTGTGTTTATTCATACTAATGTCTTATAATGCCGCTAATACTTACACTGCATTTTATTTCCATTATGTTGTTCAAACGAGTCCTCGGAGTGTAAGAAACTTCATCGCACTTTCTTTCTTTCTTTTCTTCGTAAACTCCTTCCCAAGTCGGAATTCACTGTGCATTTGTCTTCCTTTCTACCGGTTACTTCTTTTGTCGATCCGCGCTTCCGCGCGAAACGTTATCGCGGATGTTGGGTTATTAATGCGAAAAACGCCCCGTGCGCGTCCATCAAAAGTCATTTCCCCGAGCATTACATGATCCCGAAAGAGCTCAAGAGCGGCGAGATACGCGGCAACGTACGCTAAGTCGAAGATAAATTTCGTAGAAGCTGATGAATTCGTTCGAGGGGGACGGATTTCTCCAGGGAAGATACGTGAATGGATACGTTTAAAAATTGAGCCTTGGATAAATCATACGGGTAATAAAGCGGTCGCAATTTTTTTCCCGTTTTTTTGGGGGGGGGTTTGCATTAGTCGATGTACATCAATAATGTTCGGATCGATTACACACGCAAGCGTTTCACATGTCCGTTACGCTAATTGGCATAAATCGGGGTGATGATAAGCGGTATAATGCATCGACGATGACACACGAGCTGCCAGGAAAGGCCAGAAGCGCGATCCATAATCGACGAATAAAAAGCCCGACGCTTCAGCCGGGCGACAGGCGATTAATTATAAAAACAAGACGGTGAGCGCCTTTTTCCGTCTCCGCGTAACGCCCGTTACCTCCGCCAGACGTTATCGAGCTTCCTCCGTTATTAATGTGAAAACTGTCTCTGCTGCCATCGCGCTCCCAAGTCGTGTCTCTGTCCTCCTTTTCTCTCTGTCTTCTCTCTCTCTCTCTCTCTCTCTCTTTCTTTTATGCTGTGCACGATGCCGTGAGAAAGCCGGAAGCGCGGAAAAATCGAGACAATCGCCGTAATTGCGGGAAGTCAACGCGCAGCAGCGTTGTCGGAGCGAACACAATGGTATCGCCGAATCCGCGAAATACGAGTCGAAAGGATCGCACGCCGCTCGAAACAGGACTCGCTTCCGTATCTCGTCGCCTGTGGTACATATATCGACTCGTTACGAATCAGGCTTGAATTCACAAGAACGCTTTGTTGCGCTTGAATTGTCGTCGGACACACGCCATATCCTAAAAAAAAAAGAAGAAAAAGGAATACTACTGCGCCCAGAAAATTTTTGACAATAAAGAATTTTTATTTGGCGAAGCAGATAAAATTATTAAAATCTTTTTGTCAGCTTTTATAAAAACGATACTTATCAATATATGTAGAATATATCGTGATGCAAACGCACGCAAGATGAGGCACATTTCTTTTTCGTGAAAACGTCCGCAAACAGGTTGCAAACTTCGTAAATCAGTTCCTAACCGTGGAGGGGAAAGAAGAGGAATATACTCTCAAATCTTTCGACTCGTAACTCAATTTAAATAACGATGTCCACCGCCCCATCATCTTTATAAGCCCTCGTCACTTGCGCGCTGCCGATGCGATATTATGCATGCGCGACGAGCACGGCGGCACACCATTATACCACGAGTTTTTTTAATGTCGCATAAATGCGCCGGGAAGGCTTGCGACTCTTAATATCATCGAGGTGGGCTCCTCTCGTCCCGCGTGCACGCGATGTGCGCCACGTGAACCGAAACTTCAACCTCCGTGAATGAAAATTCTTGTTGAAAGTCAACAAATTGCACGCGCGATGACATTTAGTCTTTACTCCTCTCAAAGGAGCAGGAAATGAATTTCATTAAAACATTTTGCCGTGCAATTATTTGAAATATTAATTGTAAAAATTAGTCGGTAAAATATATTTTACGTTACTTTTTTTTTCAAATATCTTGATAATTGTACTCGCAGGTATGATTCTGGAAAGGATAAAGTTCAGCCGAATTGGTTTAACATAAATAAAATATCGTTGATTGCACGCTAGAAATTTGATCTATGAAGCTGTTTTTATATTAAGTAGTTCACAACTCGAGAATTAACGGCGTCGCGATATTTTAGTTGAAGAGAAAACGTTCTTCAGATGGTCAAAGAATTTGTCGTTAGAATTCAGATCGGAGTTTCTCTCAGACAGTTGTGCAGAATCGCCGACTGCTGAGACATCATTCTCGACAGGCTCGTCCACGCTTTCGTCTTTCGTAAGTAAGAAGTTTTCGGCGCGTAATTAACTACTAGTAAGTAGTTAGAGGCGCTGACGAAACCACTCGCGCCTGTAGAACATTAGAGTCAACTTGCTTGAGAACTTTATCCTCTCGTTCTCGCAAAGTTATCAGCACCCACTGTGTACTCGATAATACTTTTGATCCGCTCACGCGACCCCGGTTCCCCGTGAATTATCGCGAATTGTTGAATAGGATCGAATTAAATGCAACCCGACTGTTAGAAGCATCGGGACATTGCATGGAAACGTCACAAAAAATTTTTTTTTCTTTATCTTATTATCTTTTTTAAATTAAATATTTTATCATTCTCGCGTTTTAAGTTTTAATTTTGTTTTAAATTATTTATTTTTGTTGATTATGACGAATACAATTATTTGTAGATATTTAAATTGGTGATAAAATCTGTTTTCAAAATATTATTCAGTATTTTTTCGGAATAGCCAATCTATGAATAAGTATTGATCGTATTGTGATTCGTCGTAAGTATGCAATCATCGAAATTGGAAACGCGCAAGAAGCCCGCCGGTCCTTTTCCTTATAGTCGGACGACAGGGCGAAAAGGATAAAACGAATAGAGATTCGTTGTAGAAAGCCGGCTACCGTCATTCGTATTTGTCGAATGGAAATTCAGCCCTCGAACGACGACATTGCCTTCTGCTGTCGCGGCCCGAAACAGATGGCGAAGGAAAAAGGTAGCTAGGTAGAGAATCATCCTCACGCGGAAACCGAGAAATCCGTCGTAATTCGTCCGCCGGCACAATGCCCGAGATTCGTCTAATTGGTATCCAATTAACCGAAATTGGCGCGGTTGGTCTGAGAACCTTATCGTGACTCGAATATCTTGGGAGCAGATTTTGCTGATTGCGAGAGAGGCGCTCGAATGTGCACGGACCACCATTGTTGAACGGTAAACGTCGCGTTGTAGATATTTACATTATATTTTATCGAACATGTCGTCCGGCTATGCATATTGATCTTATTAAAGTATTAATTTATGCGACTGATGCCATTTGTTTTGTTATCAATATATAATTATGAAGCGCAACAATGCATATTGTTCCAGTTAAATAATCTTTGATAAATGAGTTAAAGCATGTGTTACAAAAGAGTTGTTTAATCCGGTGATTTTTGAAAATCCTTGACAATTTTATATATATACAATATATATATATATCGAATCATCTGTTCATAAATGTATAAAAATATCAATGAATAGTAAACTTTTTGTCTACTTTGAACAGACAATGGATTGTTAAAAGTTTGTATATTATATATCACGTGAATATATATAAAGTAAAAATATGTGATACTTAGAGAGATTTCAATAAAGTTTTGAATATTAAAAATCATGAGATAACTTCGTGAATTTTATTACAATATTTAAAACAAATAAGAAATGGAAATAGTTCCAATAGAAGATTGAAAAAGACTATCGTGCAAAAGTCCAGTGGGAGTTCTATCGGCGAATGATATCAAGACAGCAGGAGATCGAAAATTTATGAACCTCCTATACGGTCGCGCCCGACGCGACGCCTCCTTACGCGCGTTCCATTCCAACGATTGCATTCTGAAAACGTATCGACATCTATACATCACGTCTGTCCGAACGCGAAGGCGACCTCCGGTTTTCCGCCCCCGCGATCCAGAAGGATGGCGGCATCGTCATTTGCATTCGCCCGGCAACGAGACGGCAAAAAACCCGTTGGAATTCCGAGTATCGATTTAATTCTGACCTAATCACGGTTACCTCTCTCCTTCCCTCTCTCGTCTAGATGGACTTTGTTCCTTGGTAACGCGACGGTCGCGGGAATCCGAGGCCGTTTCTGTCGATGAGACTAACCGACGAGTGACGACGCCCAAGCGTTCCAACCATCGCATTCTTTCCATTTGACCGCATTGCGACAGGGCGCGCGACGACGATAAAACTCGTACCTGATGTAAATTGGTCGCTTCCTAGGCGCACGTCTCGGCTACGAGGTTACGGTATACGCAGACTAATTGCGGCCTACCGCATGCCATGATGCAAAGAGACCTGTGTGGAAAAGTTGTCTTTTCCTATCTTTGAATCGAATCTCGTTTCATGAGGACGAATTTAATGAGCGCAAGAAATTCGCGTCGCCGGTCAAGCAGATACGCTTTAAAAAAAATATCTCGCTTGGGATTATCTGAATGAATAAAGAGCCTGCTTTATTAATGTCCACTTACTTTCTAGTAAGTACTTGTTTTTCTTTTTATCAATTTTCCATTTGTATGATATGTAATAATTAGATCGATAATTAAAGATAAAATAGAAATTATCTAATCATCTATATAAGTTAAAAATAAAATAATTTTTATGGGGAAATAAAAAATTAAAAAATTTTTTATTTATTTCTTTAGATTAGAATTAAATTATAATGATAAAGTTCTATTATACATTATATAATGTGTTCCATTTGTAGTACAAGTAAAAGGATAATAGTTTTTGTCTTAATCGACAATCTAGATCTCGCGACTGTGTCAACGAGAATCGCTCTCCGAGATTTTCCATGCTCTCGAGCTTATAACGCGATAGATAAGAGAAACGATCGTTTTCCGACGAGCTTAGAAAGTTTCTTCTTACGAACATAATATTCATAATTGCTCTCTACAGCTTCTTTTCTTACAAAGTTTTCTTTTGCTGACAATTGCTGCTGAAATCGTCCGAATTATCAAACGACCACCAATCATCCTTCGCGGATTCTTATCATTCGCACGCGTTTTATCTTGCATTGCTTTTGTTCCAGCCATCATCGCCGAATTCGCTCGAAGTCCCTCCGGCTTAGGTTTTAAATTTAGCCTGATGATTCAGGATACGCTGTGGCGTAAACGTTTATTTCCTCCCTATTTTATTCGCGCTTCGAATTACTTATGAAACTGCGAGAAATTACGTCGTTTCTTGCGAGATTTATCGTCTGATGTCGTCGGCACTGGCGTGCGCGCGCGTGAGAATCCTCGGCGCGAGATGTAATAATTAGTCGACCAAAGTTTCACGATAACGGCTGGGTATCGGATTTTCGTGCTTCTGTGGCCCAGAAGTCGCTGATAAAACTTTCCTCCGACCGTGGTCGGTATCTCGCAATTATTTCACTTTACGACGTTCTTTGGCAATCTTCTCGGCACTCTCACCGAGACGATGCTTCGAGCGAATAAGAGAATATTGTTTGGCTGCGATCCGCTCGTTCGCGGGAGAAACGGAGAAGTATAATTATCGTAATTTTGGCCGCATCGATAGTCGTGAACCGGCGATACGGAATTCATCGCGAATCGAAATCATAGAATATTTTCAACTTTTTTTCCGACGCCTTGGCCACTTTCGTCTAGTCTTATCGGCCGCGGCGAGGATATCGCTAACGAGATGTTCCTAATTAAAACTATAGCTAATCGCCCGCGGTCTTATAATTCAAAATTAACGACTCTTTTTTTCTCGGATCTATACGATTTACGAAATCTTTGACGATCACCAAAGTTGCAACGATATGTTAACTTTGCGACGATTAACTTTAAGTTAATTTTGTGATAGTTTTATGCGAAAAGAGTTGGTTATCTCTGTATCTATTAATTAATTATTTTATAACATAGTAATTGCAATATCGACCCGTAAATATGATATCATAGTATTTTAATCAATATAACAAATGATAATGACTTTTGAATTTTAATAATTTTAAGTGTAGATAATTTTATAATGAACATATTGCATTATACTTGTTGTTAAACTAGTCCAGTGTGGCATTTATTGCTCTCTGCATCATTACTACATGTTTTACAATCATAAAGTACGCCATAGATATATAATTCAAAAATTGGCCGCATGCAAATTGCTATTGTAATTAAACTGAAAAATTTCCGGAGCACTCTGGAGTTTTCTAACAAAACAATTGACATGACTTACAATTAGTAATTTACCGCGTGGTTATATTTTTTTTCAGGTGGCTTCACCTGCTGTTTAACCTGGGGGTTCAGGTGGTCGTGGGACTTCCCTTGGAAATGGTGCACGGAAGCCTGAGGATCGCCGCGGTTTACATGGCCGGGGTTCTTGCCGGTGAGTAATGTCGTCTGCAATGTGAATTATGTTATGGTGCATCTACTATTTATGCTCCGGGCGTAAATGCTCGTTTAACCTTCGCGTCTTGCCGTTGCAAAAGTTAAGCTAAACACAAATCTTGGCTTGAAATAATCATTAAGAACAAAGATCGTATAGCATTGGTTTAAAAAGAAATAAAAACTTGACAGTTATCCAGTAATAATTGTAATATTTTTTAACGAAATACGTTGAAGTTATTTTATAACGCATTAAATATATGTAAAAGCTGTGTGTATTTATAATTAAATCGCAATCCACTTATCTCAATTATCATTCGATTAACTTCTGTCACGTGCAATGACAATCTCAGCCAACGGTACAATTCATTGTCTCTCTCTTTCTCTCTCTTCCCCCATTTCTCTTTCTCTTCTACATTTTTTTTTCTATGAAACGAGTTTTTGTGCAATCGTCGAAATTAGTCCGGTGTATATATAAATACAAGAGCGAGAGATATATTACGAAACGTGAACATTATAACCGAAATGTCCAAGATATGCAGGGTGCTAATTATTCGAACATATGCTACCTGTTATAACGAGGCGTTTTAATTAAAATTCGTTGATGTTAATATAAGTACCTTGACAGCTGGATAATGAAACGCTTTACATTCGCAAATTTGCACATTTCCCAAATAATCTCATATCTCTCTCGATTAATTTGTCGGTAACAAACTGAATTTTTTGCAATTTATCGTGTGTTAAACGACAAAATTATTTTATATATATTACGATTCTCTCCTTTTTAGCAGAATATGGCACAAGAATTACAAACGATAATGTTATTCCTATGTTTACCGTATCGTTTTCTATGCTAAGCAATTTCTGTCCGAAACATTTTTGCATATTTATCGAGACAACAAAGGCGACCGAGTAATTCCGGCAAATTGTCCCATTCCATGTATATATATATATATATATATATACGAAACGTATATAGCGTGGATACATGTGCGCGGGCAAAAACGTATCTATATACATCTAATTGTCATTTGCATAAATTCGATTAGACGCAGATCCCGAGTTATTAGCGGTCATGAAAGTAAAACGTGGCAAAATGGGGCGCATGAATAATCAACTCTAGCCGAACGGGGACAAAGAGAATGCAGGAATTAGATAGGAGAAATGGCGGTATATATAGGAATTTCAAAACAGATGCGATGATACTTTTGGTAAATTAGCAAGAATAAACGCGGTGCAGTCTTCCATTTATACATTAACTGAATTTTAATTTGAGGATTAATTGTTTGAATTGTAAATTAAAAGTGTAAAACGATGCAAATGTCATAAAGATAGTTTTAAGAATAAAATTCGAAAAAAGAACTTTATATGATGACAAATATATTGTCAATCATTAATACAAAAGTTAGAAATAAAAATAATTAATAAAATGCTGGAAGAGAGAAAGAGAGAGAGAGAGAGAGAGAGAGAGAGAAGGGGAACAAATGTAATAAATCGTTTATACATTACAAAGAATTATGCAAGAGTAAAGAAATGTTCTTTCATACTTTTGTGCTGCCATAATTTATAACAAAAGCATCAAACTTCTCTCAATGTTATCGACACACTGTCATTTTTGCCTCTTTTCGGCATTTTCATTCTCACGGAATTTCTCGATTGCGCATTTCCGACTATCCTTGTCTAACCATTTTATCTCGGTCTTCACTTCTGCTCTCGAGCAGAGCGTATCTCCATCTTTGTTCGTCTAAAGTCGCTCGCAAGGATGCGCTACGGCGACAGCTTGTCTGGGCCCACCGCGACGAGATTACTTCGTATGCATCGCGGTCGCGACGATGTAATGCGATTGCAACGACGCAAGTGCAACGGCAGCTATATCCCCTCTTTTCTTCTGGTTGCACTCGGCGTCTCCTTCTTTATATATGCCTTGCATCGCGTCCGCTCTTTTTCCTCTAGCCGACTCTTTGTTTAACATTAATCGGATTATAGCGACCATACTCGATTAATCACAGAGGAGTTGTAAAACATTTCTTTCTCATAAAAATGTAAAAAGAATGTAATTACATTCCTTAATAATAGATTTGATCCGCAATAATATTATTATTCTTTATTTAAATGAATTATATAAATGATGATATTGAAAGATACATTAGAAATTAAATTACATTTGTACAAATGTAAAATAGAGAAATTACCACTTCTTTTGAACGATATATACATATATATAATATTTTCATAAAATTTTTTAGTTGATATGATATTCTTATGCATATGTTATTATGCATTATACAATTATTATGTCTTACATATTTTTATGAGATTACGAGTACCTGTAAATATATTTTATTAGTATAAAACACACACACACACATACGTGTCGCATATACCAATTAATATTGCGCGATATGAGGAAAAAAACGTTGAAACGTAATCATCAAACTAATGAAGAACGTAAATCAACGTTTTAAATTATGCGGTTACTGCACCACATGAGTGTAAATTATCCTTAGTGCGGTGTGAAACCGGGTAGCTTATAAATGCACTTCTCCAGAGTGGTGCGCGGATTAATGTCGTTTACGACATCGTCGCGCTTATTACTGGTTGTACTCCCTGTTCTCCCTATTGCTCGACCATTTCTACTTGGAAATTTTGGACAATGGAGCGAGATAGTGATTTGCCATTGTACGAAATTCGCAGCGCAAACGTACGAATTCATATAACATACGAAAACTAAATATCATATTGATTAAAAAAGATGAATTAAAATATACGTGTATTTTTTATCTTATAGGAATTTAATTTTCTGAAAGAAAAAGATGGCCCGAATCATAAATTAAAATTTTGTACCTTATTTGAATGTAAAAAATGTTTTTTATTTTTCTACTTCTTAAATTGATATAATTATGTGAGATTATACATAATTGTCAAGTAGATTTATTTATCATGATTAAAATTCTGTTCTATAAATACCAAAAAAAAACCATACTATATTTGAAAAATGGTAATTAATGTTTCACTTTGATGTAAAATGATTAAGAACATTCATATGGTTAACAATATTCAGGAAGATTGAACTCGCGATAACGTGAATAATATTATCAATTCTTTATAATGAATATGTATATTCTTAGTAATTTCGTCTCGTTGATTTCGTGCGGCGCGCTCTTCGCTCCATTTGCGAACTTTCTTCTCTATCAACGTTAACGAATGTTTCCCGGTATCCAATTTTTTGTTGAGGAACGGATACGGCCTCGTGTCGTAGCGTCGTCGTCGTCGTAGTCGTCGTCGTCGCGGCGGCGCTGTCGAGTCGATTGCGTGACACCAGCAATTATATGACGGTATTTGCATGTCGTACGACGCGCTTCGTAGTTCGTATGCACGACTGCGTGTGGCCAGTCGCCGGTGCATTAACTCGACTTGAAGATAACCGACGACGACGACGACGACGACGACGACGACGACGACGACGACGACGACGACGACGACGACGACGACGACGACGACGACGACGACGACGGCGATGATGATAATACTCGGACCGACTCTGAAAATCGATACTTTGTTCTTTTCTTTTATTTTTTCTCGCGCGTCTTTAACTTTACTTTTAGCACGAGATCGCGTTGTCTCAGCTCGTTAGAATCTCTTTCCACTTATTTCTTTCGATCATTTCGGAAACAACGGAAGCATCTTGATGACAATCGAGAAAAACTTTAAATTGGATGACAAAATGCTACACGAACGTCAAATCTACGGAAAAACGGCGTCATGTGTCATCGTTATCAGTAATAATTTTATTTCTATTTTGATTTTTATATATTTTTTATGATTAATTTAATTTTTACATTTCTTTATATATATTCTTTTTAAAGATATATTAAAGAATTTTGATATATAAATATAGTATATATAAAAACTGCCTTCAAATGAAAACAATTTGATCTAACGGCCGATTTTTACCGACACAATTCAAGTACAATTTATTCTTTTTCTACAAAGTTTAATTGTATCATGCCAACTCACAAAAAATGCAATGGTTAGTTTCATCGGAAATAAGAAAATAAGTAAAACATACAAATTGAAGACAGTAAAAGTCGTTTACTACATTTTATCACATTTCAATCAGGAAGAATTTGAATCGCTTTGTGCAATCATTGATGTACGATTTCGCTCTTTTCACCGGCCATCTTTTTTTGTACATATATGCAAATATGTCTGTATGTTTGCGAGCGAGCGCATTTTCTATTTATTTTTCTTCTTCCCCTCGGCCCCATTTTAATATTTTCAATGCAAAAATCCTGGCGGACACGGCCTATCGTTGGGTCAAAGGGATATTAAAACAACGGGACGAAATGCGGGATGTACAAAATGTTGATATTGCGCACGCTCCTCACTTTCGATCGGGAATTTTGCGTGTCGATGATCGCGTTCAGGATGCCAAAAGTTTCGCAAAAAGCATGCGTGCATGCGAGAGAGAGAAAGAGAAAGCCAGGTTGGAAAAAAATCGGTGGATGCGAATAACGGGTGCGATGGAAATTTCAATATTTTTGAAATATTGCGAGATTGAATACTCGCAAATTCGATTTTTTTTTTATTTTTAAGAACCAATATGTCTGTCATGTGATGGATGTAACTTCACATATACGTTAATCACGTTTCGAATAAGTGATTCTTTATGTGCAGTATTTATTACTACATTAGAGAAGGAAAATTATAATTGGAATTGTAATTTAATGAGAATAAAATTCTTCTCGACATAAAAAAAATGTTATAAATGCCACATTTTTAAATTTATTTTTCCGTTGAGAAAGGTTTATGCCAAGACCAATAACGCTCTAAAGGATTGCAATATGATGTAATATAATTTGCATTTAATATTATAAAATGTTATTACATTTATGTTACGCATATTTCCCCACGGGCCTACAATAAATATCAAACCTAATCTGATCCATTATTGAACGCGAAATTTGTATATATAGTTCTATGTTACATTCTATAAAATAT